GTGTGAGTGTGAGTGTGAGTGTGTGTGTGTGTGTGTGTGTGTGTGTGTGTGTGTGTTCAGGCTTCAGTCGAGGCCTTTTCTTCAGATCTGAAGCCAGTTATACGGTAAACAACGAGATTCCTGAAATATTCTTAAATATCAGATGGAATTTTATACGGGAGATCATTGAATCATCAGGAATCTTGGTTTGGACGTCAATTATACTAATAATTTTCACACAATAATTGGTAGAAGAAACAAAACAGTTAATGTGTGTGAGGACGGATGGGATAATAAATAATTAGACTGTATACTGTATCTGGGAAGAGTTATTTATTTATATTTCGTAAATACTTTAATATTTGATGAATGACATCATATAATTTTTTATTTATTCTTTTGAATTGCATGTATGTGTGTAAATGTGCATGTACTGTCACTAATGCTTCTGCGTTGTATTTATTTATTTTAATCACGCAATTAAACAAATATTTTTTCTACTTAATTTTAGATTTAATAGTAAGAGACAAAAACACAATGAAAAAAAGACAGCTCATCCAAAGCCAGTTCAATAATACGGGAAACACGTGCTTTGAGGGAAGTTTCTGAGGCGAAAAGATCCTGTCGCGAATCTCTGGAGCGTCTGATCGCGCAGCGCCGGTGTGTAGTGCGCATGCGCGGCGCGTCAGATCCGGCTGCGGAAGGATGAATGTAAATGTCAAAGATGGCGGCGGAGGGAGGAGGGAAGGAGATGAACGAGATCAAGAGTCAGTTCAGCACGCGGGAAGGCGCGTATAAACTCCTCACGCACTCAGAGTACAGCAGACCCAACCGAGTGCCCTTCAACTCTCAGGGCTCGAACCCCGTCAGAGTCTCGTTCGTCAACGTCAACGATCAGTCCGGTAACGGCGAGCGCATCTGCTTCAATGTGGGCCGCGAGCTCTACTTCTACATCTATAAAAGCGTCAGGAAGGTGAGCGCGACACGCGTTTATCTGCGCTTTCGTCAAATAGCTGTTATTTCGCATCATGGGTGACGCGACGTGAATGTCACACGCACGCGCACGCACACGGCGCTCTCTCAAAGTGCGCCGTTTGTTTATTTCTGTGTGCGTGCGCGCGCGTGTGTGTGTTCTGGTATATATGGTTTATGAGGACACTTCCTGTGTCCAAAACGGTTTTTTATGAAATTAAAAAATTGCCAGTAGTTTCCTGTGAGGGGTAGGTTTAGGGGTAGGGTTGGTGTAGGGCAATAGAAAATACAGTTTGTACAGTATAGAAACTATTACACCTATGGAGAGTCCCCGTAAACCACAAATGTGTGCGTGTGTGTGTGTGTCTGTGTGAGTGCGTGCCTGAATGTGAGTGTGAGTGTGCGTGTGTGTCTGAGTGTGTGTGTGTGTCTCTGTGAGTGTGTCTGTGTGCGGACGCACACTAACGTGATGAACGCCAGCGGCCCGCCGGCCACAGCAAGCGGAAGCAGCGTCATCACCGGCTCCAGCAACCCCAGCACCAACGGCAGCAGCAGCAGCTCAAGTGTGCTCCCCGCGCCGCTGCCGCGCTCCAACAGCCTCCCGCACTCCGCCGCCGGCACCGGAAACAGCAAGAGCGCCGCCTCGGACAACCCCATCGCCGCCGGCGTCAGCAAGTTCGCCACGCTCTCGCTGCACGACCGCAAAGAGCGGCACCCCGACAAAGACCACAAGCGCAACCACAGCATGGGCCACATCAGCAGCAAGAGCAGCGACAAGCTCAACCTGCTGACCAAAACCAAAACAGACCCCGCCAAGACTCTGGGCACGCAGCTGTGTCCGCGCATGGAGGACGTGCCGCTGCTCGAGCCGCTCATCTGTAAAAAGATCGCGCACGAGAGACTCACCGTGCTCATCTTTCTAGAGGACTGTATAGTCACCGCGTGTCAGGAGGGGTTTATTTGCACGTGGGCGAGACCCGGCAAAGTGGTGAGTTCCTTTGCACCGTCTGCGAGCAGCGACTTCCTCCACACATTCACAGTCAGTCGAGGCTTGCTTTAGCCGCTCGTTTCTCCCACAGCGCTGCTCGTCTCTCGCTTCAGCTGAAGGCCTGATGATAAACTGAAGCGTGCAGCGCTCTGGATCCCCAGAACAGGAATACACCGCCAGCCAAAAGTTCTTTAACAGTAATCTTTCATGTTTTTTTAAAGGGCTCATCGGATGAACATTTTCCACAAGTTGGCACAATTTATTACTAGGGATGTAACGATTCACTCAACTCACGATTCGATTCACGATTTAGGTCTTCACGAAATGTCTGTAACATATTTTGCTTAAAAACACTCAGTGGTTGTGTAAACAACACTCTTTTTGCCTTGTCAAAAACAGCTCTGCTCACACCAGCCCGTTTTGGTGTGTGTCTCTTTAAATGATAATGAGTTACTGCACCCCTCCCCCCTTCTGGGATCTCCACTAAAGATAAAATAAATCCAGTCCTCTCTTGTCTCCTCTGAGGCTGGGACTCTAAATAATGATTTGTATTCGTCTGTGCAGCCAATGACAAAACATGTAGCATGTTTTCTGCAAACTTCAGAACAAGTACGCCGCTGTCGCTTGTGAAAACAATGATGGCGACTGAGCGCTGTGGGTGGAAACGTGCAGATTAATGGACGGTAATATAATAAGAACCCTTTCCTACGTCAGAGGAGGAGAGAAATCTGATCGGCTCATTTTCTCACATGCTTGCAGAGAAAGTCTTACAAAACCAAACTTACTGGGTTCTTCTTTTTTTACGTTTTCTGAGTTGGTAGATGCACCGAACACTCAATTATAGCACTTAAATACGGAAAAAGTCAGATTTTCATCCGATGAGCCATTTAAAGAAGTCTCTTCTGCTCATCAAGCCTGCATTTATTTGATCAGAAATACAGCAAAAGCAGTAATATTGTGAAATATTATTATTATAATTTAAAACAGCTGTTTTCTATGTGAATCAAATCTCACGGTTCAAACACTTGTGACTGCTCGTGATTCAGATTGGGCTCATCTACCTTTAACTGACTTTAAAAAGTTATGAGCAGTCTTGAAGAAAACTAGACTAGTTAAAAGACTAGTCTAAGCATCCGGCGCCGGGTCTAGATGTATTGAGTGTTCAGTATTAGGATGCAAGTGTCCCTCTGAAATGAGGAGCCCAGTATCGGTAGATCTGTAACTAGTTCATCATGACCGTGATCTGTACGTTTGGTCAGATGTTTTTCCTCCTGTATACAGAAATGTCTTCTCTTCTTTTTTCCAGGGGTTGCTGTCATCCCAAAACCAAGCCAGCTCTCCCAGTGGAACAGTAGTATAGCCACGATATTCCTGCTGCTATGAGACCGCACCACGTCTCCGGCTCCGCTCAGAACCGCTGGTTTTCCTCCTCTCCTGCTCTTGCTGTGCTTCTGGAGGCCCGTGTTCGCAGGGGATCCTTACATTTCTTCTGTTCTAACAGAGTATTTATTTGAATTGTTTTGTTGCTTTCACTCTCAAATGCATCTCACGGTGTTATTATTTCTGCTGTGTATGTCAAGCTTGTCTGAGGTGTGGGGAATCATTTAATCAGGTGGAAAAGCAGTGGGCTTGAACTCAGTTTGCTGAGAAAGACCTGGTGGTCCACACGGCTCCAGACTCGCTTCCAGCACAGATCCTTTCAACGCTTTTACCTTCTCCCTCTCTCTGATGGAACAGATTCCACCCGCTGTTCAAGACTTGGCACTGATTTTATTTAGGTTGTTGTTTTGGTAACTACTTTAAAGGATCACAAAAGACAAAAAAGGAAGAGATAGATGTTTGGGGAAGGCCTTGATGCACTTGGCTTTAATATCCTCTGTCTTGAAATCTGAATCTGAAAAGCTGGATGCTGCAATCATAGTTTTTTAAAGAAAATTTGTTTGCACTTAATAGTTTATTAGAAGAGAATGGCTTTACATTTAATGTGTGCGAGGACTCACAGACCGGTATAATGTGGAGAATTATGATTAAAACTTTGTATCTATTGAGCATTTATTTTAATATTGTTTCAGATAAAAATCTGCTTTGTATTATATGTATAATATTGTAATTCAGTGATTTATCGGGGCAAAAGCAAATGATCAGTAACTCTAGTGGACCTGTCATCATTACAGGAAATAGTGACATTTCTAAAGCAGAAAAATAGATATAATAATATTAAAATTAATCTTAAATATGCAGGTTTCTGTTGGTTTAGTTTCGTTTTCCTGTCTCTTGTACAAAAGTCCCCCAGATGTATTTTGATATGAGATTTCTGTAAGAATTAGGCTGATCTATTGTTACAGACGGCCAAACGCATGAAGCTCAGGAAGTCTAGCAGACGCAAAAAACAAACCTTACGAAAGAGTTCCCAGAGTTCATATTTTGCTTACCAACAGCAAACTTATTCTATGTACTACTAAGAAAAAGCCACTAGAGCGATCGGTAGAATCTCACAGTGTGACACTATTAAACGTCTAACAGAGCCTTTTCTGTGACTAGCAGTCATTGTTCATGAGATATACACTAACCGGGAAAGACCAGGATGTGGAAGTGCTCATATTTTTGATTCATGTGGTTAACATTTTGCATTTCACATTTTGTTCTTCATTAAAAAAAAAGTCCATGGATGTTTGGTCTGGTGTGTGTATCTGTGATGTTGTGTGTACTAGTTTACTTTAACCAGCTAGACCACTAACTAGTGCTGAGCTGCTGCTGTTATTACAGGGTTTGTGCTTTTTCATGCTGGTCCAGAATAACTGAATAACAGTTTTTGTTCTATTTTGCAGAATCTATTTATTTTTGTTCTACTGTACGTCAGCAGGTGAAACCAACATTCACAGTATGTGTATTTGACACTTCTGTTACTAAGACCCTGTTTTGATCTTATTTAAGCTGTTTTATTTATGCTGATTGGTATAATTGAAAAAAGTGCAAAAACACTAATGTAAAGGTAGAGTTTATGGCAAATGGTAAATTTCATGCCAAAATGCATTCGTGTAAAATCATCAAGCGGACCGTTACAGATCTGGTGGTGGTGAATGTGCATCGCTATACAGTAGTGAGATCATTTACAGGCAACACAAATGTCAGATATCTAGTGTGCTGTCGAAACATGGCAGTCTGCAACGAGTGTACAGTAAAACCCCTTTATTGAACACTATATAAAGTCCACTTGTGGAAATGTCTCAGTGGCTCCAATAGCAAACCAGCGCTGCTGATGATCCTGTTTAACGTTCATCCCATAATAAAAAGTGCAATAACACCAGGAACAACCAGCACGAATGGCACTCGCTGTGTCTGCCGTGAGATCCGTCTCGTTTAGAGAGATTCATTGGTCTGGTTTGGGTTAAATGCTGGTCTAATGGAAAGCAGCAGACTTACATTAGTTACGTCCATTTTTATAGAATCTGCTTTCAACAATCTGAAACCAATAAACTGCAGTTAGGTCAGATTTGGGATGGATGTATCGTGACCGTTTGAATCGGTCAGCCAGTAAACCCATGCAAATATCATGCAAATAGCTTGTACTGGTTTGAAAACGGCATGTTTCTGTGTGTGCAAAGACTTTTATTATGTAATGTAAATGTTGATGTCTGTAGTCTGTTGAAGCCAGCACACTGGAACCAGAGGCAGACGCGAGGCATGTTGGTCAGTGTTCAGTGGGTCAGCACTCGTCTGGACGGCGCTCCAGCGGAGGCATGTAGCTGCTCTTAAAACGGTGTGGCTCTTCTTTGGGCTTTTCAAACCAGAAGAACAGAGATTCAGATCACAGACAGGACGCTCTAGAGCAGATGAATGCACTGAAGCTGGTGTAAAGGTGTGATTACTTTGGTCAGACGCGAGTGGCACTTTTTGGAGATGGCCGGCAGAGAGCCGCGGTGCGAGACGCTCAGCGCTGGGAAGCTGGACACTGGGTAAGGGATTGTGGGTGTCGGGATCACCACGTTGAGTTTTGGTAGCTCCAGAGGAAAGTGCGAGGCGTTTCGTCGGCTGAGCGAGTCGCTGGCGTGCTTGAGATGCTGCAGAGAGGAACAGAGTCAACCGTTAAAACATTTCATCACAACTGCAAATTATGAGCTGAGATTTGACTCTTTATGCTGCTTTCTGTCAAAATGCATTTAGTTTCTTTTCAATGAAAGAACACAAAACAATGTGTTCATTAGGTGACGACAAAGTACAACTGAAATTCAATAATATCCAAAGGTTTTATGTATTCATTGAAATCAACAACAGAAATGACCTCCAGTCGAAAGACAGACAGCATTAAGCATGCTTTGTTTTCATTCTTCATTGTCTGTGTTTTTGCTCATTGTGATGGAAAGAGTGCGTTCACAACAGTTCACGTGTCCTTTTGTGTTATTTTGTGCAAATGAAAGTTATAAAATGCTGTTTATGTTGCGCGTGCGTGTATGTGATTAATCTCAAGTGCTTCAGTGTTTGTTCAGGCCGATCCCTGACTGCATTATTGGAATTTTCTCAATTTTTCTTCTTCAAAAAACACTGCATTATTAATATTCAGCAAAGGATTTTTATTTTGTCTAACATCTACTGGCGTGCTGTGAAGAGGTACCTGTCGTCTTCCCTGCCGTGCGATTCTCCACAGCTGATCCACGGATTCTCCCTCGACAGCTCCCATCGCCTTCCGCAGACTCGCTGCTTTCCTCTCACACATCCTGCAGAAAACACCACAGAAGGAGCTGAAGCAGTGCTGCAACACAGGTACAGCACACGTGTGCTTCGACTGATTCTGTACTGACTGACAAACAGCTGCACTGAAAGGAAGCCTCGAGTTACTGATCTTACGCTTTATTCTGAAAGCCAGAGTGTCTGATAACAGTGAGTGACATCAGGCTGATCCTGTGTTCATAAACACAGCTTTTACCTGCTTTACCACTGATCTCACATCACTGAAAAATGCAATTTGCGGGTAAAATGTTTTCATGAGCAAACAGTGCCTGAGAGCATCTTTAAAGGGGTCATATGATGTTTTTTAAAGATCATTATTTTGTGTATTTGGTGTAACAGAATATGCTGACATGCTTTAATGTTCAAAAAACACATTATTTTTCAAATACTGTACATTATTGTAGGTCCTCTATGCCCCGCCTCTCTCAAACGCTTCGTTTTCTAAGACTTTAGTCTTTGCAACTTCAGGGATCTTATCTATGCACAATCAGCTTGTAACACTCCAAAGAGAAAGGAAAACTTGAAATCGCATCATATGACCCCTTTAAGTGAAACGGCATGCTTTAATGCTTCTGTGTCAGTCGAGGTGTGTTCGTACCGCAGTTCTCTGAAGCAGGGGTGCTGCAAAGCTGTGCGGGCACTGACGCGCTCCTCGGGGTCGTAGGTCAGCATCTGGTGCAGCAGAGACAGAGCGGCTGCAGAGCACTGAGGGATCAGCTGGGAGATGCCACAGCCTCTGCGAGGAGGGAAGTCGAAGCGCATCGCACGGGACCTTCAACACAACATTGAAACCATGAATTAAACATTATTTTAGCTAAAAATGAAACTCCTTTTTGGGAAATTAAGCATTCTGTCATTTTGATAATGGCCTTGGGTCTAAATGCTATACATTACAACTACGCATTATTATACACATTATCTGCTTGTTGAGTCAGAGTCGGGTGCAATCCTCATCTCAGATGTTCATAATCACTATTTTTTTAATCGCACACCTTTAAGCTAAGCTTTAATAACTGCCGGCGTTCACGAGTCACTCATCAAGCCTGCATGCTGTGCGCTGGTCCGTTCTGTGTCTACATGTGACTGTGTTTGTGCTCTTAGTCTGCTGGGTGTTGCTTTGGTCTCTTTTCTCTCTTCAGTGCAGAGGGATGTCTGAAATATTGTTTTGATGAGTTTGTTCTCACTGTTTGAACTTCTGCAGCAGCGAGCTGTCCGGCGTGCCCAGCACATCGTGGATTTTGTTGACCTGGTCTAACTCGTTTCGGCCGGGGAATAAAGGGCTCAGACTAGAAGACATGGAAACGACTGATTAGAACATGACAACAAATCAAGGAACAAACGCCACACCGCTCACGGCACGATGGAAGCACCTGAGGATCTCGAAGAAGACGCATCCGGCGCTCCACATGTCCATCTTCTGCGAGTAGTGTCCGTCGGTCAGCAGGCACTCGGGCGCGCGGTACCAGCGTGTGGAGATGTACTCGGTGTGAGGAGGTCTGGAGAAGATGCTCCTGCAGGAGCCGAAGTCTGCCAGCTTCAGCACATCGTTCTGTGAGAGACAGCGGAAGTGACTGAACATATATATGCACACTTATTGTCACGAACAAATAATGATTAAAAAATCACATAGTCTGGATGGCCTTACTTTGATCAAGATGTTCTCTGGCTTCACGTCTCTGTGGAATATGCCATGGCTGCGTTCAGAATGAACAGATAAGCGTCAGTATCGTCACTCTTGAGGAGGCTAAGAGCATATGAGTGTGTGTGTGTGTGAGTGAGTGTGAGTGTGTGTGTGTGTGTGTGTCTCTGTGTGTGCGGGAGTGTGTGTGTGTGTGAGTGTGTGTGTG